ACACACACACACACACACACACACACACACACACACACACACACACATATTAGCCCAAAGCGGATCACAGAGCTCAGTGGGAGAGCAAAAACTACAACTCTCCTAGAAGAAAACACAGCAATAAATCCTATGGATATACCAAGCAATAAAAGAGAAAATAAGTATGTGGGACTTCATCAAAATTACACACTTCTGTGCTTCACAGGACACCACGTGGAAGAGAAAATACAAACCACAGACTGGGGAGAAATATTTGCAAATCATGTTTCTGACAAGGGACGTGCTTCCGGAATATGTGAAGAGCTCCTACAACTTAATCAGAAAAAGACAACCCAATTTTTAAACAAACTACGTGAATAGACATTTCTCCAAGCGAGATGTGCAAGCCCATGAAAAGATGCTCTCCACCGTTAGTCATGAGGGAAATGCACGTCAGAGGCACAGCGCACACACCATTTCAGCACTGGGGTGGCTAGAATGGAAAAGAGAGATATTAGCAGTGTGGTGTAGACGGAGCCTCGTGGGAATGGTGCAGCCACTCTGGAAAACAGGCTGGCTGCTTCCCCCACGTGATACACACGGGGTGACCCTATGAGCCAGCAGCACCAGTTCTTTAGGTATCTACCCAAGAACAACGAAAACACATGTCCACACCTCTGTTCTAACAGCATTATTCCTAATAGTCCAAAGTGGAAACACCACCCGTCCGCCAACTGAGGAAGGGACAGACAGCTCGTCGCGGATCCACAAAACATCACAGGAGGGAACGGGGTTGTGATGGCGCCACGGCATGGATGGACCTCAAAGACGCCCCCAGCTAGTGAAAGGGGCCAGCACAAAGGAGCACGCAGGCTGTGACCCTGTTTGCATACATGTCCAGCACCGGCCAATCTGTGGACGGGAGGTAGGCTAGCGGCCGTCTGGGGCTGTGGGGGAAGGAAAGTGACCGCTAACGAGCCCACGGGTTTAGGGGGACAATGGAAATGCTCAAACACTAGGGCTCAGGATGCGGGTCTATAAGCACCCTGAAGCCAAGGGACCAATGGCACACAGATGGCAGCCCAGCTCGACCTGTGCTTTGCAGGCTCTGACGCACCTGCGTGCACTCCGCGCAGATCAGTTAGGACTGCGGAACCCTAGCTGTTTCTTTTGCTCGCCCTGAGAAGATGGGTCCCCCCCCCGCCTGTGGCTGACCTGGGGGAGACCCCGTTCCCGAGGAGACGCAGGCATGCATGCGTGAGGGTGTCTCCGTGTGGCTTACTCACGTGTCCTCGTCCAGGCAGAGATTCCCGTGGAAACGGGGCTGCACGGTCACCGTCACGGCGCATGGCGGCACCCGGGAGCCCGCCCCGTCTGTGATCTCAGTGGACACTGTGACTGAAAGGGAACGTGGCAGAGGAAGGTCACGGTGGAGATCAAGCCCTCAGGAACCAGAATCTCTGCGGGGTGGACCTGTGTGCCCACGGTGGTGACGTCCTAACACAGCCAGGCACGAGCTCTGAGCGCGAGGCTGCCCCATCCTTGCGGCAAGGCCAGCGTTCCAACATCAAGTGCCACACGGCAGTGCTGGGCACCGAGCTCCGGAGAGCCAGGGACACAGGAGCGGTCACAAGGATGGAGCAGAAGTGGCCACAGGCCACGGGAGCCAGGAAGTGCTCCACTCACTTGCTCACTCATCCCACCTGCAGGCCCTGTGTGCCAGGGGCGGCAGGACCCCACCAGTGAACGGGAAACCGGGGCAGTGGGAAACCCCGAGAGTGAAACCCACGCTCAGCAACGGAGGCTCAAGGGTTGGAGTAACATTTTAAGCAGCTCCTCAGTGATGTCCAGAAACAGGGCAGGTGCAGAGAAAGGCGGAGAAGCAAAGTCTGCATATGGTCCCAGGAGCGGGGCAGGAAACGGCTTTGTTGGGGCCTCAGGATGCAGGCCCGGGATTTGTGGGGCAGAGACGTGCAGATGCTGTTCCCCGGGGAGGCCGCAGGGCCAGCCGCAGGAACCACGCAGAAGGCAGACCCGAAGTGTGCCAGGGGCGTGAAAGCATTCTCAACCCGAAACACAGAGCCAAGGATTTGGGACTTAATTTTGAGGGCTGGTGCTTCTCCCAGTGTGGCCCCTGGACACCGGGCCACCCAATCAGCACTACAAACAAATGCTGGGCTCCACCCTCTCCTCCCAGGATTCTGAGCCAGTAGGTGAGGGTGGGCCCCTATTCCAGCTGTGAGGCAGCGACAGTTTAGCAAGTGCGGCGGGGATTCCACCGCGGATCACACGGGTCCTCCGGCTGGACGCAGAGAGTGCAAGAGCGCCAGCAGAGTTCAGGCCAGACTCCAACCTGACGCTGAGTCCGTGGGAAACCTCGCAAGAGACGGGACAGGACAGGATCTCGTAGCTACCGCACTGTATTTATTGTGCTCGCGTTCCCCCTCGTGCGACAGTCGGGTACTCGTAGCATCGATCAACCTGGCATTCACCATTGTAATGCCTCATGCACACTTTGGGAGTGGCCTGAGTGACATCACTCACACTGACACCGCTCGGTGACTGTGGCCTGAAATTTGGGTCTACAGATTCATGTTAAGGGACCCTTTCATCCAACACGGAGCTGAGCTCCTGCCCCCAACATCCTGTGGTCTGCAGGCCCCTGCAGGCGGGGTCCCACACGGCCCTGCAGGCGGGCATCTGGGGAGGGGACCTGCCGGGTCTGAACCAAGCGCAGGGCTTCATACCCAACACCAGCAAGTGGAGGGCTTGGCGGGGTGGGGGTGAGCATCCATGTGGAGGAAAATTTCCAGGAGACAGAGGGCATGTGCAGTTTCGCTGTGGAGGAATTTATGATGCAGGCCCATGAAAACCACCCCCGTCTGTCCATCCAACGCGCACTGCACTCACTGTGACACACAGGGGACGTGCCCATCCTCACCGATCACAGTGTGCAGCTCAGGACGCCTTTGCTCCTTGTCTCTGACCCGCACCCAGGAGCAGGTGCACATGTGTCTGACTGGGAGTCAGGCAAGGTTTCATGAAAAGGAAACCTTTCTTGCTGGGCTTCGAGGAGAGGAGAGGTTTAAGGAAACCGAGTGGATGAGTGAATTCAGACCTCAGGCAGAAATAATCTCACCTGGCCAGCTCAGAGAAAGTTCTAGATCAGGAACTCCAAGTTGCCTGTCCCTCGGAACCATCCGGCCACTGAGCTTTATTCAACGGGAGTGGGTTCCACAGATGGGCCCACTTTCCTAAACGGCTGTGTCTCTAACGGGCTCAGGGCAGGCAGGCTCCCGGGGTCCGGAAAGTTGTCAGCACAGCAGAACTGATTTTGTTCTGAGAACAACACATACTAACCCTGCATCCCTTTACCCTGGCCTTTTCTTCATGGTGGGAGCCCCTTGATTTGGTGCTGTTGACAACCAGTGCAGGATTCACCAGATACCACAAACTTCATTAGTGAATAAGGGACAGGTTGGTCTCAAACATTTGATTCATAAATACAGGCTGTGCTTTGGCATTTTGGCATTTACATTATGTTTCAGTTGTAATTTAAGATCTCAGTCGGTTAAGCGTCTGCCTTCAGCCCAGGTCCTGGGATCTCAGCTCCTGGGATCGAGCCCCACATTGGGCTCCCTGCTCAGCGGGAAGCCTGTTTCTCCTTCTCCCTCTACCCCTACCCCCTGCTCATGTGCTCTCTCTCTCTCAAATAAAAATAAATCTTTCTTAAAAAATTTTTAAAAAGTAGGTAATCCACCTACTCTAAGAGGCATGAGACTTTTTAAGACAAATAGATAAGTATTTTATTTTCTAAATACACAGTTCTAACATTTTCTTGTTTTGGGGAGCCAGGAGGAAAGGTTTAGGACGGTAAGTGAGGACAGCCAGCCACCCAAAAAAGTCATGGCTTGACTTACCTTTATAATCGTCCAAGGGCTCGCCAGCTGGCAGCATGGAATAATACTGGCTGTCTCTCCCATGGTACAGAGTGCGTTTGGAGGCATTTCCTATCTGATAACTAAATTCGTAACGGAAGTCCTAGGATCCGTTCCATGTGGAGGAAAAAAACAGTGTATAGATGAATAAACCGCGAATTACATCCCCAATAAATACACACCCCTGCATCCTTCACTCCAACCGAGAGTGTCGTACACAGACAGGCAGGGGCAGGTACTGACATCTTGTCCCGAATGCACGTGCATGTGGCGTGACCTCTCCCCTCCAGAGCCCCTCTCCTAGAGCCGCGAGTACCCCACACAGGGGCTGCATCTGTCGGTCGGGGTTGTGTGCCCTCCTAGCCACAGAGACACAGATCCCTGGGCCTGCTTGGGGTGAAGGGGATACAGACTGGGGATCGGGGAGGAGGCGCTCATGTGAATCACTCTTGGTGTCAGAACAGGGCATTGGAAGAGAGAGAAAGCAAAAAACAGACTCTTCACTACAAGGAACACAGTGCGGGTCACAGAGGGGAGGTGCGTGGGGGGTGGGGGAACAGATGAGGGGGACGGAGCGCACCTGTCGTGATGAGCACTGGGTGATGTAGGGAAGTGCCGAATCTCTGCACTGTGCACCTGAGACTAATACTGCACTGTATGTGAACCACACTGTAATTACAATTAAAACTTAATAACAGGGACGCCTGGGTGGCTCAGTTGGTGAAGCGTCTGCCTTCAGCTCAGGTCATGATCCCGGGGTCCTGGGATGGAGCCCCGCGTCGGGGGAGGGGGTGCTCAGCGGGGAGCCTGCTTCTGCCTCTCCTCCCTGCTTGTGCTCTCTCTCTCTCTCAAATGAATAAATAAAACCTTAAAAAATAAATAAAATGTAACAATAAAAAAAAGCAGGGCATCTGGGGCCTGAGGGAGGCCGGGATCAGACCCTCCAGGGACGCACGTGGTGGGTTTCGGAGAGACGGAGCAGGGTCAGGACGGGAATGGGGCGGTGTGCCCCTGAAAGGGTGGGGAGCAATGTCACGGCACTCCTGCCGCCAGACCCCGGGACGAGGCTTCGTGTCCCATGGCATCTCCCCAGACTGCTGGCCGCCCCTTGAGGACGGCCTCTGACCCCAGCCTCTGGGACAGACTCGGGGTGGCCAAGCGTACCGGTCTCCCCGACATGCAGAAGACACTGAAGACGGTGTGAGCCTCGAGGCCGCGGTGTGGCTGCACCTGGCAGGCCACGTCCCGTGGAGCCGGATTGAGCGTCACGTACAGCTGAGCTCTCCCCAGTAAGTGGTGCGGGGAAGCTACAGACAGGAGGGCGAGGATTAAAACCCACGCTGGAGAAAGACAGCAGCATGATTATGTCTTCACAGCACACCCCGGGCGGTTGCCAGGGTGTGGAGCCGGTCATCCATGTGACTCGCCCTCCGCAGGGTTTTGGAGGGCACAGGACGTGGGGACGCAGCCAAGGAGCCCATCACAAGGTCAAGTCAAAGAGAAGGGAGTGGCTGCTCCACGGCCCGGCCCAGTGTGTGCAGGAGCCCAGGGGGTGAGTGCTGCTGCTGGGGGCAGGGGGCACGGGGAGATGAGTGGGGACACGCGGGGACACCCCGGGCCTCCCACGCAGAGGCTGAGTCTCCCCCCCCCTGGAAGCAGTGCGACCTGCCTAAGAAAACGGCCCCCAGTCTCGTCACTTGGACAAATAGCAGCAATGGCAGGGAGGGCCAAAGGTTTGCTTTGCCGTGTTTGTGAAAGCAAAAGCAGTGTTGTCTCTCTCGTGCCAAACACAGGGGCCCGGGGGTCCGTTTCTGAACGCACCGTGGGATGGGCAGACGGACGTTTGCAGAGCTGTCAGCAGAGACAGGGGGAAGAACAAGAGAACAAAGCTCGGGGACCCCAGGGGCCCTACCGAGGGGTTTCCCACAGACATCGGCCTCATGCTTCTCATGAGAGGAAGGTGACGTGGGAGACAAGCCTAGAAATGCACCAGGGGTTTCAAGTAGCCCAAACATGTGGACTCTGACCCCAACCCCTCTGTGCTTATGAACTGTCGGATCGTCTGCGCTTGTCATATGGAACTAAAAACCGCTAGAAATGGGGCAGAAGGTCCAAAACTGCCCCAAAAGGAAGAGGTGATTGAGTCATGGAAAGGCCGGAAGCGGGGCAGAGCAGGGCGCCGGGTCAATGTGCGCCTGACGTACACGGACCCCACAGACACCTCCACCTCCCTGGGTTTCACATATGCGTCGGGATTATCAACCAATTCAGGGAAAGAATCAACATACACAGCTGTCTTGGAGAAATCAAATAAACACGCACCCCGTTCCGGGTTTTTTTAAAGGCCACCATCTCAACCTTTACCGTGACCCGAACACCCCACCTGATCCCATAAGGATCAGAAACACAGGAGGAGGTAAGAATGAGCAGTGCGGGACGGGGGGGACCGAGGGGGGCTCAGGACGCTCTGGGAAAAGAGCCCGGGAGGTCAGAAGTGGCTGCAATTTCCAGAAAAAATCTGAATATAATGAAAACTCTCATCCTCCCATGCCCCAGGTCCCCCTGAGCGTGTAACGTACCCACAGAGGCTTGCAGGACGTATGTGTCCCCAGGGCTCAGGGAGAATGGCTTTATCGTCACCGTGTGCCCCGTGATACCTGAGAAGAAGAGGCCACAGGGAGAGGGCCATCAGCGGGCTCTGCAGGGCAGGGGGCAGATAGACCCCTTCTGTGCTGGCTTCCCCCTACTCCCGTGGAGCAGGCTTGTTGCTACCTGCAAATGCCCCCAGATGTTTGCCACCCACCCTCTATACAGAGCTGGAGGCTCCCCTCTGGCCTCCCCTGTCTGAGGGCAGCGACCCTGAGCTGGGGCCTGGGTGGGGGGGTTCCTGGGTCACACTTGGCTCCCCACAACAAGAGAATGCTGGTGGGAGCTCACGCTGTACACTTTGTGGTGGCTTCCACGTCCAACCTGGCTCGCTGACACACTGACTTTGTCCATGAGGCATGATTAAGGCATTTCAAAGCGAGTTTTTCGTCTTGAAGACTGTGAACCATTTCTCAAATCTGGGTGTGACTGTTGCCCACTGGTGACCGGGTCCCCTCCTTAGCGGGCAGAGGCTGACCCCGAAACGCAGGCTGGTGGTCTCAAGGGAAAACCGTCTTTTCCCAAAATAGGGGCGGGGCGGAGAAGGGGGAGGAGGCAGCCTTCTGACGACAGGGGAGGCCCAGAGCCTCCACCGGGGTGCGTCTGCAGATGTGGCTCCTGGCGGGCTCCAGAGGCACATTCGGCCTTTGATAAAGAGCCTCTGCCTGCGTCCACGGAGGGACATACGCAAGTAGAAAAGGCACGATGACCCTGAGGACTTCTCTACCGAAAGGAAATGTTGCAGAAAAAACAGAGGGGCTGGTCCCCAAATGCTTGTGAACTGGCTGCAAACCCCGGATCTGAAGAGAGGGCTCCTACCAGAGGAGGTGTAGCCGTGGAAACGAGCGCGGCCGACCGGGGACTTGGGCCAGTCCACCATGAGGGTGGGCCTGGCAGCGGCCAGGGGGGCCGAGGGGCCCAGCAGGTTGTCCCCGTCAGCACTTGAACTTGGGCCTGCTCCCGGGAGGCTGGCATCAGCCCCTAGGAAGACAAGGCAAGCCAACACATGGTCAGGGAGCAAGTGCCAATGATCTTCTGAAATATTAATTCATAACTGCACCAGTGTTGCTGGATGCGTCATATCGAAATAATGTCTTCAGCAACCACCCACGCTCCAGAGCTGTCCTTTGTCACCGCGCGGTGGCTGGTGTGATGGCCTATCCCCTCCTGCCCATCCTCAACTGCTCAGCAAATACCCTGCTCGCTGAGCCCGGGAGCCGGTCCAGGGCAGATCCGCTCAGCAGAGTGACAGGGGCCCGGCTGCCAGGGCCCAGCAGAGCAAGTCAGCCCAGCAAACCAGATGACACTGGCTGCCTCCAGACTAGGGAGCCAGGTGACCGTGAGCGAAGACAGTCACAGCAGGGCGTGAGGAGGGGTGGGGGGCAGGGGAAGGGGCTGGCTTAGAGCCGGTGGGCTGTGGGCCATGGGTGGGCGGGGCCCCTGGGGGGTGAGGTGCAGACAGAGGCTCTGGAGTGAACACTGGAGAGCAGTTGGAGATGTGGCTGGAGGAGGTGGGAAAGAAGGAAACCAGATGGGAGAAAGTACCAAAAATCCGCCCAGGACTGGCCTGGAGGCGGGGGGTCTGGGAGTGCCCTGAAAGCAGCCGGGGCTGTCCGTGTAGGCAGCAGGCAGGGAGCAGAGCCCGAGGAAGGGCTCCTGCGTGGTCCAGCACACGGCACGTCGCGACACCGCGGAGGGCCGGCTGGCTCCAGACGCGGAGCCACAGGTAGAAGATGCAGGGAGAACGCGACCTCCCCGTTGTGAGTCAGTCACCGTCAGGCAATTTTATTTATATAGTGTTTTTTCTTCATTCGGTGTTATTTACTAGGCGCCCGCCGTGAGCGTGGAGGCATCCTCTACACGTGAGCGGGCACAGGAGAGAGCATGGACAGGCATGAAGAAACCACAGACGCAGGAGAGGAGGATGCCGGTGAAAACAGAGCAGACTCCACGGTCAAATCCTCCATGACCGTCCAGCGCCTCTGTCCACAGACACGTCGTCCACTGACCGTC